ACACTAATGCTAGTGAACTGAGTAAGAGAAAGAGAAACGTTCGACTATCTACTAGTCTTCTATCCTAGTCTTAGACCTCCACAACCTCCTCTATAGGGCCATGTCCTCAGTCTGCTCTAGTTGCGCTATGTCCGCCTGATCACTTTTCCCCAAGACTTCTTAGGCCTACCCCTACCCTTCCTGATACCCACTAAGTCTAACATCGTGCACCTTCTAACTGGGGTTCTATTCTTCTCCTCTAACATGCTCAAACTATCTCAACCTCGCCTCTCGCATCTTATCCTCCACAAGGGTCACTCCCACCTTATACCGAATAACTCATTCCTAATCTTATCTAACCTGGTATGCATCCACCTTAACATCCCCATCTCAGCTACATTCATATTCTGGACATGAGAGTTCTTGACAGGCTAACAATCTACTCCATACAACATAGTTGGTCTAACTACTACCTTGTAGAACTTACCTTTTAGTCTTAACAGCACATTCTTATCACACAAGACATCGGAAGCGAGCCTCTTCTTCATTCATCCCGCTCCGATATGGTGCGTTACATCCTCATCAATCTTCCCGTTACCTTGTATTATAATCCAAGGCCCTTGAAACTTTCTCTCCTGGGGATGACCTGTGTATCAAGCCTTACATCCATGTCCGATTCCTGGATAACTTCGCTAAACTTGAACTCCAAGTACTCCGTCTTAGTCCTTCCCGGCTTGAAACCTTTAGACTCAAGAGTCCGCCTCCAAACCTCTAGTCTGTCGTCAACACCTCCTCGAGTCTCATCAGTCAGAACTATATCATCTGCAAATAACATACACCATGACACCTCCCCTTGAATGTGTAGCGTTAATGCATCCATCGCCAAGGAAAACAAAAACGGACTAAGGGCTGATCCCTGATGCAACTACATCACGACCGGGAAGTGTTTTGAGTCTCCTCCCGATGTCCTGACCGTGTCTTATCTATACATGTCCTTAATCACTTTAATGTAGGCAACATGCACACCTTTAGCCATTATGTACCTCCACAGAACCTCTCTCGGGACTTTGTCGTATGTTTTCTCTAAGTCAATGAACACCATATGCTAGTCCTTCTTCATTGTCCTATACTGCTCTACCAACCTCCTCACCAAATGAATGGATTCCTTAGTCGAACGCTCTGGCATGAAACCGAACTGGTTCTCAAAAATAGACACACACCTCCTCATTCTCCCTTCCACCATCCTCTCCCAAACTTTTATCGTATGACTTAGCATCTTGATACCCCTATAGTTATTGGAGTTTTGGATATCACCCTTGTTCTTGTACAACGGATTCATCGTACTCTATCTCCATTCTTCAATCTTCCTCTTCATCCTAAAAATGATGTTGAACAACCTATAGAGCCATTCCGGGCCTGCCTTACCCGGGCTGTTTCAGAACTCTATTGGGATCTTGTCTGGTCCGGCAGCTCTACCCCTGCTCATCCTATGCATCGTCCCCTCGACCTTCCCCACACTAATAAACCTACATTACCCAAAGTACCGATTACTCCCGACGTAATCCAGATCACCCAACATAATATCCCTATCCCCCTCCCCATCATTCAAGAGTTTATGAAAGTATGACTATCACCTCCGCCTAATCTGAGCCTCATCTATTAGCACTCTACCCTCCTCATCTTTTATGCACTTCACTTGATCCGGATCACGGGCCTTCCTTTCTCTCACTTTGGTAAGCTTGTACAACTTCTTGTCTCTCTCCCAGCTCTTCATGTAGACGTCCAAACATTGCAGTCTTAGCCGGAGTGACCTCTAACTTTGCCTCCTTCTTAGCCTTCTTATACCACTACCTGTTGGCCCTCTTCTCAGCCTCGTCTATGTTCTCTGCAAGATTTTTATATGCCACTTTCTTGGATTTCAATTTACCATGGACCTCTACATTCTACCACAAGTCCTCTTTGCGGCCACTAGAGAAATCCTTCGAGACCCCTAGCACCTCTCTCGCAGCTTCCCTAATACAGCTCGTAGTCATGGTCCACATAAAATTCGAGTTCCCTGATACTCAATTTGATTGTTCTATTAAAATATTGACAACAAATAATTGCTCAGGATTTTTTGATTCAAATATGAATTAGTTAGTTGAGACACTAGGAACTTTTCAATCAGACCACATGTTTCTGTATTCTACTGCATAATGGCATAGTGGAAAGAAGACATAGATACATCCTTGAAACAATTTTGGGGTGACTGTATTCTTACAGATGTGCACATAATTAATAGATTACCTTCTACAACCTTAAAAGGAAAGTCTTCCTATAAAATGTTCTTTAACATTGCACCATCATTAGATCGCCTGAGGGTCTTTGGGTGTTTATGATATGCTGGAAACGTAAGGAAGCAAGACAAGTTTTTTGTTAGGGCATTGCCAAGAGTCTTTATGGGATATTCACCTACAAAAGGGGTTATAAATTGTATGACTTGCAATCTAAGCAGTTTATAATCAGTAGAGATATGGTGTTTAAGGAGATGGTGTTTCCTTTCAAATAGATAAAGATGTTATCTAGTCCTTAATTCCAGTTCTTGAATTAACTGGTGAGCATTTACCTTCACCTGTACATGATGATGTTTAGGAGGCTCTACCTACACTTGCTAATGACATTGCACTGGATGATGTTGATTCACCACTGAGTCATGAGGCACAATTTGACATTCCTGCATCACAAGTTATTGACACTCCTCAATCCTCCTCATATGTAGAGGATGCCCAACCCATGACAATCAAAAAGTCACAAAGAACAGCTGGTCCTCCCAGATGTTTGCAAGGTTATGTGACAAGCTCTTGTGTATATCCTATGTCAAATTATCCGAGATATGATGGTTTGTCTCCTTCATATGTGAAGTGTCTCACTGGACAATTAGTTTTTGTTGAGCCTAAACATTATTCGGAGACAGCCAAGGATGCAAGATGGGTCACTGCTATGCAATAGGAAATTCAAGCCTCGAAAGAAAACAGGACTTGGGATATAGTTGATCTACCTATAGGTAAGGCTCCTATAGGGTAAAACGGGGTGTATAAAGTCAAATACAAAGCCAATGGACAAGTGAAAAGGTTCAATGGCTAGACTTGTAGCCAAAGGTTTCAACCAAAAGGAAGGTTTAGAAAACAAGGAGACTTTTTCTCCTATAGCTAAAAGGATGTACACAATGCTTTCTTGCAAGGTGATCTCTTTGAAGAGGTATATATGCAGCTTCCTCAAGGTTTTAGTATCAACGGAGAGCAAAACCAGTGTCCACACCACTAGAAGTCAACAGAAGCTAACATCAGCAGAGTTTGAAGAAGCTACAAAGTCAAAGGATGAGGAAGAAAGTGTACTGGAAGATGTTAAACTTTATCAAAGGCTGGTAGGAAGGTTGATATATCTTACCATGACCAGACCTGATATAGCCTATGTGGTTCAGGTTCTGAGCCAATTCATGCACAAACCTAAAAGGTCACACTTTATTTGCTTACTCTGACTCAGACAGGGCAGCTTGTCCACAGTCCAGAAAGTCAGTCACAAGATACATTGTGAAGTATGGGCAATCTCCGATTTCTTGGAAATCAGAGAAACAAAGCACAATGTTAAGAAGTTCAAAAAGGTAGAGTTTAGAATCATGACTTTAATAATGGCTGAACTATCCTGGCTTGTGGGGTTGTTTAAGGTACTATGCATCAATGTGACATTGCCCATAGAACTTTTTTGCGGCAGTAAAGCAGCTATACAAATAATTGCCAATCCAATATTTCACGAGAGGACCAAGCATATTGACATCGACTGTCATTTTGCGAGGGGGAAGTTGCAGCATGGTCTCATTCAAACTCATCATATTAGTACCAAAGACCAAGTTACGGATTTACTTACCAAAGGACTTGGGAAGACACCACATTATCATCTATTGAGCAAGTTGGGAGTTGAAAATTTGTTCTTACCCTCCAACTTGAAGGGGAGTAATGAGCCAAGCAATAACAATGACGGTTAGTTGGTTAGGTAGTTAATTGGTTGTAACTTAAGCTCACTATGTTTAGTGGTAGAGTTAGCTACTTTAGTTCTACTTTTCTTTTCCTACAGTTGGATTGTAATTGTAAAATTTCACTTGAATCTTCTGAAATATTCCCTTCATTTCATTCGAACTTCATTCTCTGCTTTGGCGATCTATTCAGCTCTAGGGATTCTCTTCTATTCAGCTCAAATCCATGGCAGAGCATCATGGATAACTGAATTTGACACCTTACTGATGCAAGGCTGTCGAACTTGTGCACGAGAATTGTTGGCAGAGGTGGAGCCAGGGTTTGAACTTTATGAGTTCTAAATTCTCAAGCTGCAAAACTCAACAAGCTTTGGCAATCCCACCAAAACTTTCGTCATCGACACCATTCTGCCAAAAGCATGTCTGACGCATCCACGGAAAGTCAATTACTCTCTCTGTTCCATCTTAAAAAAAGAAGACGGACTTTTATATTTAATAATTCTTTAAATTTGGACTTTCTATTTTATTCTTAATGACAAGTTCTTATAGCCATAGAAATGTCATGGCACGTTGAAGACATGTGTCAAGTCCTTTTTTGCTTCTTAAACTTTGTGTCCAGTTAATCATTAACATATAAATTGAAACAAAGTATTTGACAAATACAGGACTCTCTATCCTTCAAATTTCTTCAGTTTTGAAGTCGACAGTTTAGCCCAGCATTCTGCATCTTCTAACACTGCATTCTGTATCTTTTAATCAGACCTGATAGATATCTAAGACTGAGTTATTGAAATGCAGAAAGCAATATCCTACAGATCATATTCCATTTTTTATTGCTGTTACGCTTTTACCTTCAACTGCAACCAGAAGACCACTAAAATTATGAGGATAAGGGGAGGGACGAACAGCAGCTATGTTTGACAATGAACGAACACAGAAAATGATGGAGGCAATCTTTTGCAGGGGAGGGGACACGAGCACCCTGTCTACATACATTACACAAAACCTCAAGTGTCTGGAAGTGTCACTATTATATAATGCAAAGAGCACCTTGGATTTCTTGTCTCTCATAGATGAATCAACAAATATCAGAATTTCCTGTAATCCTCAGCAATCCGAGTTATCTCATCATTACATTGATGAAGATAGAAGTAAACGCAGCTGATTAGTCGTCACATTACAAAGCGTACCATAATGGAAAACGCTAAAGTTAGTTATTTTTTGTGAATTGAATCACAAAGCTGGCTAAGGGTGTCTGAAATTTTTCCGAGACATTCAATAAGTTGGCTGCCTTGACTTCTGATCAAATGAACACGTCCAGCCTCAAAATTCTTCAAATCAGCAAGTCTGCAATCTCTATCATCCATCGGACTTCCTTCGATTATTGCAGTGATTAATTCTGCATTTTCTCTAAGGGTTGCAGCCATCATTTCTTCCGGATTATCTACATTAATCTGCTCAGCCTTTACCGTATTGACCAGGCTAAGGCTTGGAAGTTCAGCCTTTTCCTCCTGACTGGATGTCTCACGCTTTATCTGTAAGCTGGATTTCTCATGACTTGGGGCTTCCAACTTTGCATCTACGCTAGCTTCATGCTTTATCCCCACCATGGATTGCTCATATTTCCTGTTTTCATTTAAGATGCGTCTCCATGGATTCAACCTTTCCTCCATTTTGTACTTTCGTGGTTTCGTCCTTCGGCGCTGCCTTTTAAGACCTAATGATACAAGAATGTAACACATTTAGCTGATACTGAAAAGTCAATTTTCATTTCAGGATATTGCTTTTCTTTTTTACTTCTTCTTTCTCTGTGGTATACCTTACACTATGTAAGGAAAGATGATTTCACCACAAAGTTTGTCGTGTCATGTGCAAGAATGATCAGTTATGCTAATTAAATCTAGAATGGTACTACAATGAAGAAGATCTGCATTCTTTTTGTCATGTGAAGATCTGCAGTCTTTTAGTTCTGCAAAATGACAAAATTCAGCAAGTCAGTTTGCACTAAATCAGGCATCAGAAACCAGAAGATAAAATGACAAGTTCATCTGTTCACTTAAATGAAGAATGCAAAGAGAGAACAAAGAATCACCACCATCTCGACATGTGTGTTTATCGCACGTAATAACAGTATTCTAAGATTTATCAATTCCTCTAGTCAATGACGAGACAATAGTTTCCTCATTTCTACTTGTGTGTGTCTATACATCAAGCACACACATCAATCAACCAATCAATTATCTATGCCTCAATCCCAAACTAATTGAGGTTTGTTATAATGTTCCTCCAAATTTATCAACATATTTACCTGGCACAGTAGAACTGTGGAAGAACTCTTAAAGAGAACCAGATGTTGGACCAATGGTGGCAGCCAATTTATACTGATGGGTGACAGTATTCTCAAGTAAATTGCTTAGGGGTGTCACATACCCTGCACATAACACCACAGCAATCACCAGTCTGGTCCCCAGTCCCCTACCCCACAAAGTAGCTTGATAGCCAAACCACTCCCAAGGCGAATAGTGCCCTAGGGGCCGACCCAACAACGACCAGCTAAGACTCCCGCGCAGTAGGAGAAGACTCATCTAAAAGAAAGGAGACAGAGATTGTAGGAGGAACATCTGCAGCAGACGAAGCGGAACCATTACTAATCCCTCTCATATTCTGTTACACTAATGTTGCTAATCATCTTCTTCTCCATTTTAGTTTTCGGTATCCGAGGAGAGGTCTTTATTCCCATTTCTATTCCGGAGGCTGGCCTAACTATTTTCAGCCTTAGTTTCAGCAAATGCCTCAAATTGCTTTCTCAACTTCAATCCTTTCACCAACAAATCACAGAAGCTACTGTACTCAACTACGGCATCTTTTCTCTCATTCGTAAATGACAATCTTGCATCTACATTAATCGTATAGTGATGGGAAATCCTTATCCACAAATTTTGGAGATCAGTCAGTAAAGTTCTCAGGCATGTCATAAATGGAGAGATATTACAAACAGACTCACTACCATCATTCTCCTTCGTAGATCCAAACATTCCATTTGAAAAGTCCAGCAGTTCAGCAATAACAAAGCGTAAATGAACCGTATACTCTCAGATTTTAACACCATTTCTGCAAATTTCATTGGAACTTGAAATAGGAGTAGAGTATCATCAGTTGAGAATACTGTCACCCAACAGTTACATTACATGTTGGCGGGACCCACACTAGCATTGTATCAACCTTTCGGCTCTCCGATAGAATCTCCCAACTAAACATGATTTAAAATTCAGCATATCATCAATCTAAGTTCATAAAATGAATAGTAATAACTAATATGTCTATCCCCACAGTATCAAGCTGCACTCTTCATTGATAGATAATGCTAGCTTGGCTGCAGAAAAAATTGTGTCTTCCACAATGGAATCTGATAAGTGAGATCTCGAGTAAGTATTTACATAATCTTCTTTTGTCCGAAGAAATTGCTTCCCCAAAAGTTTTTATCCCTCCACTTTAAACTCTGTCCCTTTGAATTTCAGTTATCAGTTCATATCATTAGAAACATGATCACGCTTGAGATAATCATAATCTAGGCTTATTGAGATAGAAACCATCAAATAGTTCAATAGTTTTAATTCAAATTTTGTGGGATAAAGTTTATCCAGCTTCAAAGTCTTCATTCATATATATATATAATTTTTTTTTTTTTTGTATCAACTTGACCTATGAGTGTCTTAATCTAGATTAGAGTACGCTGCAAGTGTTACTACGAGAAACCTCAGTCCACATTGGTTTTGCTTCTGAAAAGATTTCTCCTGCCACATTCGTTATAAATGATGTATTTTAGTACAACATCTAATATCTCCAAATTTTCCAAATAAGAACTAGTGAGAAATCCTGATTAATTTCAGACGTTAACTAAACAACAATTATTCACACAGTAGTTTGAACTCAAATGTCAACTACACTATATAATAAGATTCAATTAAAAAAGCATGACTAAATTCAAGAGCAGAATAGTACCAATTTCCAAGAGAGAATTGTTTCCTTGAGCCTGCTGGGCTTCCGGGTCAGAATCCGGGTCAGTTTCAGCACCGCCACCATCCTCACCCTGTAACAAACTCAAATACCTACCAATAGCACTAAACAACTCGAAATCAAACTCCTCCGGTAAACCCAATTCACTCTTCCTATCCCCATCGAACGATGTCGTCCAATACGCCGTTTCCCAGGGCTTCACTTTATTGTAATTTTCCAGCATAAATTCCCACCGCTTTTTACACTGATTCAGGCTCCGATTCACGCCCAGCGAGTTGCAATTATGCACCGTTGATTGCCATTTCTGGAAAGACGCTAGCGTATTGCCGCATTCAATTTGGGTTGATTTCATTTCGTTCACTAGGGTCAGTGACTCGTGTAGCGTCCAGTCAGGCGCCACCTGTGAACGCGTCCGTAGTGAACCACCGCTCTTCTCCATTTGAGGCTTAATTTTTTTGAATCTAACGCCGGAAGTGTGACATAGCTAAGACGGGAAGAAGCAGCTGAAGAACAGTTGAGAAGAAAAATTGAGAAGAAGGTTTTGACATACTTATCCACAAAAACAAAATTATTTATTTTTATTTACCCATTTATTTTTATACCCATAAACTAATTATATTTCCTAACCATAGCAGTTTTTGTAAGAAATTTTTTCTTTATTCTCCAATTCTTTTTTATTTCTATGCTTCGTTTTCTTTTTTTCCTTTTTTCTTTTCTTTTATCCTTTTCTTTTTTCTCATTTTCTTCCTATTTTCTTTTTATTTTTTCTCTTTTATTCATTTATTTTTGCCCAAATCGTATTATTGTTATTTTTGCCATAACTTATTTCACACTCTAATTTGACTCCTTCTTTATTTCTTGTTCCTTTTTTAATTCCACGTGATTGCCATGTAAACCTTGATCTCATTCCCTACAAATATTAGTACATACTCTACCATTAACAGTAACACCAACCAGTGATGGAGCAAGACAATATAATCAACGGCCACTAAATCTCCATATATACTAGTTAGGATAGAAATGATAATAAAATATTGGAAAATGCAATAAAAATATAAGTAGCAAAAAAGACTTCTAGTACCACATGATACCAATATGGTATACATGTATATCAACAGAGTATATGATTGCTCTAGAATATTGTTACAACTATCTTGACTATACTACTGTACCAAAATATTAAAGGATACAATAAAAGTATGAGAAAATTGCATGCTCGCATTGCAAGCTAAATATTCGCAAAGCAACTTGCTCATTCCATATACTAACAGGGTGTATAGTTGTATGGCTCGTTCCAACAATTGCCTATAATTATAAAAACTATTACATAATACACATAATCTATATCCATCAGCACAAAAAATTTCAAGCACTGCAAATCACGTTCATATAAATAATTTTTGAATAGAATTCACTTAAAAATACAGCCAAAACAACCAAAAAAAATGTTCAAACTACCATAAGATACCAATATGGCATATAACTATACCAACATGGTATACAGTTTTACTGGTTAATTCCCGACAACTATATGACTATACTACTATTACATAACACACATGCATAAAGAGAAAAATAAAAATATAGTGCCACATATTAATATAATAAAGTATTTCAAGATATTGAACTATAATACTATTATTAAAAGAAAATCAAATATTGTACTAATAAATGCAGCTAATACAACCAAAAAATGATTCAACTAGCATATGATACCAATATAGTATATAGTTAATACTAATAGGTATATAGTTGGAATGAATTGTATACCAAAATGGTATATTTGTATACTATTTGAGTATACAATACAAATTCGTCTTCTTCTCTTGTTCAACTATATTTCAACCCAAACTTCTAAAATCTACTACAAAATCTCCACCAAATTGACTAAAACTTTAGATACAACCTCCAATCAACTTTCCAAACAAACCCATATAGGATCGGATCAAAATAATTAAAAACTCAAACAAACCAAGTTATGAGTTTCAAGCTTCAATGTCCTTCAATGGTGGATTTGAATTTTTGTACAATAAATCCCAATTTACCTGGTCAGTGCGAAAGAAATGATTTTTGATTCAACCCAAAAAAGAATCCAAGATTGGTTTTTGGTTCAAATTGTAATAATGAAATGGGAAAAACAAAATGGATAGTAGTTAGGAGTGAATGCGAGAAAGAATGATATATGAAAAAGAGCGAGTCAGAATGGGAATGTTCAAAATGAAAAAAAAAAAAAAAAACAGAACGCTATGCTAACCCTCTCGTGCTGACTTCCTTCCCCAATTCATATTCGGTGTTGTTCTGCTTACCAGGTTTCTTCCACTTCTATTTTATTTTAACCGGGTAAATAATTTGGCCCCATGGGTAAGAGTAGTAAATAGTTTGGGCCTGGGCATTAAAGGGTAAATAATGTAGAATTAATGGGTATAAAGTGAGATTTTCTCCAGATTGTTTGTTTGGTTGGCCCCAGTTTTGATTGGAGACAAAAGAAGGTNATTCACTCTTTTGTTTGTTGGTAAGAGGACATGATCTCATGAATGATTGGTGATGTTGTAAACTTTCTTGTTGGGTAAGTGCATGAGTTGAGGGTGCTTAGTGGTTGCAAGTCGGCTCTTGAGGTTGGGTGGTGACAAATAGGTTGTCGGAATTGATTGAATTGAAGGGTTATACTTGGGCTTGCTTAAACGGGAAGAATGTGAATTTTTGTGTGTTCATGCTTGTGTGCCGGTATTGATCATAGTCAAGGGTATAGTGTGTGGTTAAAATTTAAGGTGCTCCTCTATGATTGAACCTTGTACGTAGTTGGGGGTCTATTAGATAGTCCCATTGCTCGAGGACGAGCAAGAGTCTAAGTGTGGGGTGTTGATGTTTAGCTTAAAGTATATATATATTTCTATGTATATCGCCTCATATTTTACTTTTGTTTTGTGAATTTGGGATGTTAAATGTGTTGATTTATGTTAATTTGATGTGTTTTTATGTGTAGGAATGATTCGGGAGCAATTGGGGGCGAAACACGCGAGATTTGAGCCAAAACGAACGAAACCGGGCAATGTGCGAATTTGGGTGCCACAGGTGGCGCCCGGCCCTACCTGTGGCGCCAAAAATAGTAGCTCAAAATTGTGGGGCGCCGTGGAGGGCGCCTGGCGCCGGGCTGGGTGCCGGTTATGCGGATTTTGTCCTATTTTGCCCGGGATACGGTTTATTCGGCCCTAGACCTATCCAACACGTATAAAAGCAAGACTAAACATATTTTTTGGGGGGAGGACGCCACTTTTGAGGATATCTAACACACTTTGAAGGAGAATTCACGTGGGGCAACACACATCACACTTGGAGGAGGCTTCGAACTAGTTTTTCTTCTCTTTTCTTCCTTTAATTTCATAGTTTATTAGTTCTAGAGTTTTGGGTGCTACATGAACGTTGTAGTTTGAAGCTTGAATTGTTCTTATTATTTTATCATATTGGTTTATTTATTCAATCTTGCGCTTAATTATTTGATTGCTTGATCACCAATTGAATACTATCTACGAATCTAGGATTGAACTCGGGAGAGGGAATTCTAGATTGCATATAAGATTGAGTAGAGCAAGATCTTAACTCTTAGGGGGAGCGGATTTGCGGTTAGGATAGGAATATACCTAATCGCCTTGCTTGGTTATTATACGGGAATTATAAATGCGTTCTTGTTAATCCTAATTCCATAGGAATATAGGCGTTAGGTTAGCTTGAATAGGCGAGTTGTACTTCGGGAGAAGGCTACGAGCAATATTAACCCCGTCAACCAATAAACTAGATAAATTAATTAGATAATTTAGGTAGAAAACTCAATGGGATTGTTAGCTAACCCATAGCTCTAGAATATTCACTCATATTGAATTCGTTTCTATAATTCACCGACTTGTTTTCTTTAATCTCTTAGTTTACTACTCTAGATTATCTTTAGTTAAATATTCATATTAGGATTCGCTTGAATACATTAATTGTTTGGTTTAATTTAGCTGATAGTTAATCACAAGTCCCTGTGGGTACAATATCTGGACTTACAATCCTATATTACTTGTCGACCACGTATACTTGCGTGTGCGTTTGGGAGCAACAAGTTTTTGGCGCCGTTGCCGGGAACTTAGAAATTAACTAGTCTACTAGATTAGATTTTTACTTTTTGTCTACTGAAGTTTTTTTTTTCTTATTTTTATCTTAGTTAAATATTTACTATCTTTGTTGATATGGCATCTTGGAATGATAATTTGTCGAATATTGGTTATTCTTGTTATGGTGATCCTTGTCCATATTGTGGAGGACCACACTTGTGGCAAAATTGTGCATCTCAATTTGATGTGTGGAATTTTTGTAATATGTGTAGTGGTCAAGGTGGCCATTGGGATGGTTGTCTTAATTCTTATTATCCTTCTCAGAGTTCTTATTATAATGTTTCTAATAATGCTTATGAGTTTGATAGGAGCAATGAGGTGGAGGATATAGAAAGCATGGCTCGTATTATGGACATGATAAGGCAAATAGCCGAGCAACAGAACATAATGAGGCAAATAGTCGAGCAACAAATTCTTGATGCCTTAACGATCAAAAGACTCCAGACTAGAATGGACGAATTAATGGCCAATTTCCAAGAAGAACCTCAATTCGATGAAGAGAGCGAGTTCCCACAAGAAGATTAATTTGAAGAAGCAGATATAGTGAGCCAATCTTGGCTTGAGGAACAAGCTCAACTGATAAAATCTCATGACTTTCTGCGTGATGGTCTTTCAAATATGACAGAACAACTAATAGAAGGAAGAACTGAGATCAGGCAAGAGATAGACCAATTTGGCTTAGATATCCATGACCTGCGATCAATTGAATAAAAAGGTTGAGGCGTCTGATGCCCTACAACCAATTGTTGTGGATACTGGTCAACTTATGGAGCGGAAAGAGGAATTCCAACTATTCGACCAAAATATTATTAATGATGCCAAGGTTGACGAAGAGCTCAAAATTGAGGATGTCAAAAATAATGTAATTTTGGAGTTGGAGCGTATTGGACCTCATTCTAAACATTTTTCAACATTGTGTTTGGTTGGTGACATGGGAATTGATCCAGTCGAGCATATGAAGGAGTCAATGGATGAGGAACAAAGTGCTTATATTCTGAAATTTGTGATGTCAAGGAGACAAAACGACATTCCTCACTTAAAGGCCAAGAAGTGCAAGATGCGATACCTATTGCGTGGTTCATTTATTTTTATACCACCGCCCCAGGAACGTGATAGAAAAATTGATGCAAAATTGGGGGCGCAATTCATATCTTCAAAGTGGAAGGAAAAGTGGTGAAAGTGATGGAGTCGTGCCACGACTATAAATAAGGCGCTTGTTGGGAGGCAACCCAACCTGTATATCTTTTATTTATTGATTATTTTTTTTGGTCAAGTTTTGTGTTGTTTTTATTTTGCAGAGTAGGGGAAGTCTGAGTACCCGAAGTTGAAGCTGAGGAGCATGTTTGAGCTTAAGTGTGGGATCGTCCCGACCCTTAAGATTGAGGATCATGTCCGAGCTA